AAAAAACGGTGACTGGTACACAACCATCTGTTCAACAATATCTGCCACTGGACACCACCAAACTGATTCACTGGCTCCATGCGCAATCCTAAATCAATTGCAAGGGCTGAATACTCACTTTCAAACCATTAAGATCTTTTGTAATACCAGTGTAACTCTTCTGCCAGGCACCGGTTGGCAGCAAGAAGGGTTGGGTTCAAATTTTGAGGTACCCAATCGGTTTTCACTGTGGCTCATGCCCCCACCCAGACATCTAGGATCACTGCATTTGGCTGGGGCAGCCCACATCAACAAAACCTTCTCCTCACAAGCAGTAGAAACACAAAAGGACAGAATTATTACAGGTAACAAAGGCAAAGAAAACAAAGGAAACACCAAAGGCAATTCAAACACTCTTAAGTATAAGGTATAGTCTCTAGCTTGCACCCCCCTTTGGGGAGACTCCATCCATGCCCGGGCAGTCTTGGACATGTGATCTCACCCAAAGGATTAGTTCTGGAGGCCTGCACCCCTATACCTGCCACTCAGCAACAGGCTGGACAGGACGGCCCACACCAGAAAGGCCTATGAGCTGCTCCTTGGGGAGTTTTTAGCAAGCATAGGTCCTTCTGTGATGCAAGGTGCCCCACATTGCTCCCTGGCAAGCTGTAGGGCACTGATCTCCACTTCCATGTGGTGGCTTTAAGGGGGTGCTTGTAGCTTCAGTCATCATACTACACCCCCAAAATTCTTAGCACCAATCACACAGCTCTGCTTTGGCGGAAAAGCTGCAAAAAGAACTCAGAGGCCATGACCAGATGAGCACAGATATTTGTTTCTCCATAAGGTTTGGGCAGGGAAGGGATGCTGACGGGGGCAGCTCCACCCCAGCCAGGCAGACCCGGGCTAGGATCCCAGGGAGAAAGGAGAGGGAGCGGGGAATAACCCCCCTCCCTGCCCCATTCTCTTTAGGGGGCCATGCCAGGCTGGTGTCTGGCCATCCCCCACCCCTGCTCTGGCTAGAGAGCAGAGGGGCAGGGCCAGCTCTCTTCACTGAAGCAGACAGCACAGCCCAGCCCAGGGCTGCAGGGCATGTTGGGATATTGGGGGACTGATTTAACTTAAACCAGGAAGGGGTCTGGGACAGAAGTTCCATAAACTGGTTTGATCCAAATCAGGTAAGTCTGATACTACATTCATAGATTCATAGATTGTACGGGGCTGGAAGGGATCTCGCAAGATCATCGGGTCCAGCCCCCTGCACTAGGCAGGAAAGATAACTGGAGTCAGGTGACCCAGTTAGGTGACCATCCAGTCTCCTCTTGAAGATTTCCAGGGTAGGCGATTGCACCAGCTCTGGAGGGAGTTTATTCTACAGTCTGGACACCCTAGCTGTAAAGAAGAACTTGACTATCATATTCATGTTTGCCAATCCTTCTCCACCAAGTAAAGGTTTTAGTATTAACTGTTGTAATATGGAGGCAGGAGTCAGTCATCAGTATATGGCATTTACTGTATCATAGATGGTAAATTAGAAATAATTTGATCCCAACAAATTGCTGACTTTAAGAAAATTTTAAGTATTAATCTGCACTGAAATAGCTGTATAATGTATTCCTTATTCAACCCAAAGGACCAAATGCAAAAAGGCATAAATCCAGAGAATAGTATCTTTACTCAACTTCAAGAGATCTCAACTGAAAGCACAGTTCTGCCCCAGGACAAATAGTTCTCTTATCAGCAATGTAATTCAAGATTGCAAGACATTCCTTTGCAGAATAACTTTGTGTTACAGTAGTGGCTTGCTGCCTCATTGCGACTGTATGGGAACCAGGTTTATCTTAAACCAGTTTGGGCCATTTTGAAACTGGTTTATGTGCACTGAACTTCTGTTTTGTTACAGGCTTAAATCAGTTTCTGATCACTTAGACCAGTTTATGTGTAACTTCTGTCCCTAGCCTGAGACTCTCTCTCTCTCCCTTTACCTGAGGCTTTCCCTTCATGCTGGCTCCTTTGGTTGAGGCACTTCTCTAGGATCCTCCTCCCACACCAGCTCCAGCCAGCCCCTATTTCCTATGTATGTGGCATGACATCAGCTTAGCTTTCCCAATCAGGGCTTGTCCTGCTTCCATGCGCCTCTCTTATCCAATTAGTTTAAAAGAACACTGCCCAGTCTAGCCAATCAGGCTAGGGAAAGGGCCAAAACAAAGGGTCCTTCCTGCCTACCTTGTTCAGACAGCATGCTTCTTTTCAGATTAACAAGCAGACAAGATACAGCAAAGCAGACACATATTAAACATGGTCATATTCAGACTAAAACAATATTTACAGCAACATGAAACTAGAACCCATTTTGCAATACAAAACTTTTTTTGGGCTCCACAATTCAAAAAGGATGTGGAGAAGCTTGAGAGAGTCCAGAGAAGAGCTATGCACATGATCAGAGGTCAGGAAAACAGACCCTATGATGACAGGCTGAGAGCTACGGGACTCTTTAGCCTGGAAAAGCGCAATGCTCAGGGGTCATATGATGGCCACCTATAAGTTTATCAGCGGGAACGTTTGTTCACCAGAGCGCCCCAAGGGATGACGAGGTTGAACGGTTATAAACTACTGCAAGACCATTTCAGGCTGGACATAAGAATTTCTTTACTGTCCGAGCCCCCAAGGTCTGGAATAGCCTGCCATCAGAGGTGGTTCAAGCGCCTACATTGAACTTCCTCAAGAAAAAGTTGGATGCTTATCTTGCTGAGATCCTATGACCCCAGCTGACTTCCTGCCTTTGGGCAGGGGCCTGGACTCAATGATCTTCTGAGGTCCCTTCCAGCCCTAATGTCTATGAAATCTATGAACTGCTTGTACATTTTGTGCATGTTACACCAGGGAGCCATCTCACCCCGTATGATGATCACTTCCCACTCCTGCTGTATTCTTCAGGAACAATGGAGTTTGGGGCCTCAGAAGTAGGACTACTTTATATAGGACATGAATCTTTTTTGGTGTCTGATTCATAAAGATGGTAACACATGGAAAAGAGCTTAGGTTGTTTGTGGACATTGGCTCTTAGAGAAACAAATGTAAACTCCATTTTCACAAGCACAACCACAAATAGAGCTCTGCCTACAATTGAGTCTTCATTTCACAGGAATATAAAGGGCAGGGGGGAAGGGGTAGAGAGGAGGGGGCACAGATTTCACCTTGGTTTGACCCAAAATGGACATATTTTGGGTTTCTCTGCAAAATGAAGATGATGAGGGTCGAAGGGGGAGTTGAACAGAGTACTTTGTTTGATCTCTAAGCATTTTCTTTGTTTTCAGGTGTTTATCCCAGGAGAGTTTGTTTTTTGGTTATGATAACATCCTGCTAGAACTTGCTAGTACTGCTGTGTTACTGATCCTGGTTTGTGGCATGGTATATTTAACCTGTGAGGATGAAGTTTTCAAAGGCATGATGAGCTGGGTGCTTCACTTCCTTTGAAAGCAAATGGAAATTACTAGCCTGATTGCAATTTGTGCTTTTCAGGGTGTCCTCCTATTACCTTTTGTATTTTATAGACATCAAATATAATAATGATAAGAAAGACTAATAAGAAGAAACCATATGGGCAGACTGGAATCCTAGGCTTGGCTCCATTACCTATAACAGAAAGAGCCAGAAGGCAGCTCACCAAACATTTTTAAAAGAAAGTATCCCTTTTTTTGTAATAAACCCATAGATATATGGCAAGTGAGAAGTGGGAAGCAGTATGTATACAAGTTACAGATTGCTAGGCATGCTTTGATCATTTTTCTGGCAGAATCAGCTGTGAAATGCTCTCTTCTCAGGATGAGTTAATAGAATAAATGCATTTTAATTCAGCCTTTTAAAACCTCACCTTGAAATTTCAGGCTTCAGTAAATTTTCCCAAGTGATGCTGCAAGTTCCTGCTCCCACTAATTTCCTGGTGCGCTGTATGAACGCAGCCAAGGCAAACAATAGAATCTGCCCACTTGTGTCATTCATCCATGACATCTAATTATTCTCCCTTGTCACCTGCCTCCAATATTGGCTTCCTACTCTGCATTTTTACTCTTCCACATCGAGTACTTTCAGAAACCCTTGCACCTCCCCATCAGCACAGAAAAAACAGTGAAATCTAAAGCATAACCAGAAAGAGTTAAAACTGATCTGGAATTACAAGCTCCAGGGTCCCTTTTAAAATATGTACAACAAATTTCCAAGTTCTCCTCTCCACCAACACTAACAGGTCCTTTAATATTTTGCAGTGTACAATTGTTTGTCATCTCTTCTATTTCCCCCGCACACACACACACACACACACACACACACACACACACACACACACACACACACACACACACACACACACACACACACACACACACACACACACACACACACACACACACACACACACACACACACACACACACACACACACACACACACACGCCCATGTCTCATTAGAGGCCCCACAGGGATGGGCTATAAGCTTACTTTCCACAGGAAAGTTACCCAGTTGTCATTATTGAGAAGCTCTTTAAAATCTAGTTATAACATAATTACTCCAGTTGTTTTCTATTAGACTGAGTCTATTTTAATGTTTTTACCCTCCTGGGAAACACAGTCATTTCAATACTAATAATGCATTATGGTATTGCCTCTGAGTAAAAGCCCTCAACTTAAAATCTCTATAACTATACACTACAAATAATTCCTTTCAGTCACACCTTTTTTAGTATGTTTTATATATTAGGATAAATTATGCCCAAGTGCAGAGGTAGGAAGCCCCTGGGACTTTTAGTTGGAGTTGGTCTGTGCTGTGAAACTGAAAAAAGGAATCAGCCAGAGATTCAACTGGGAAGAAGGAAAGCTGTCAAAGTACAGATCTCTGGGCATTCAGAGCAGGTTTGGCAGGCTTGTCTGGGTTTCTCCACCCTGTGTGAACTAGCTGTTTGCTCCAACAGCATCCTCTACACAATCACTTCACCTTAGCTTCACACCTCGCCTCCCCCTCTTACCTGCTTCTCCCCAGTCCCATCAACTTCATCCCTCTTCTCTTCATTCATCATACAATTTAAGTGACCCCTCCTAAGTAACTCCTGCCCTGCCAAAAAAATAATGGATCTAATAGGCCATTTGCTGCCATCACGTTGCTCACTCTGCTTGTGTCTTATACTTCATCCCTATCTCTGAGTTTACCAAGAGTACAAAGCACTCATCATCATTCTCTTTATGTAATCCAACCATGACTAGCGTGGGACAACATCACTCAGAGTGAAGAATATGTCATACCTGTACATTTCCAGCATATTTTATGCCAATACCAACCATTGGGCAGGATGTTACTTGTTTCCACATATAGATCAATAAAGTGTCAGGCATTTTCTCACATTCATCATTTTTAACTTGACATAGTACATGTGAAACACTGAAATATAACTCAATAAATACATAGGTATGGGCAAAATCAGCATTATATTTTACACAATCTAATCCCAGGCCATTTTATAAGCCTCAAATTTTGCTTTTCTTTACATCTTTGTGACCTGACCCTTTTCTAAATAAAATATGCAATCTTGTTTTTACATTTTTGCAGGGTCTGGGGTCAAATTTTATCTTCATCAAAATAACCTTAGAAATTTGAAAATGCTGATTTTTTTTTGTAATAGGATCATTTTTGTTGTAAAACAGTCTTATTAAGTTGAGCAAAAATAAATATGTAAGATTTACAAAACATAACATTTTCAGATTTTGTCATTCCTTTCCACATCCCTAATTCGGACTCAGAAAACAAAACCCAAGCTGCATTATCCAAGATGCAATTGTTGTGGAATCATAGTTCAAGTATCTCATTAGCTCCTGTCATGATACCCTAGATGTTCCAGCTTGCAGGATCTTTATAAAGCTGCTGTCCTTTCTGAAAATGCTTCCTGCTCCTTTTTCTTGTGTGTCCTTAATAGCTTGTTATAGAGGTAATAAACTCTTTGCTCTTCTTGGCTCTCAAAGAAGGAGGCTGAGATTTTTCGGCACAAGCGGTGTGCATAGGTTTCCAGAAATATCATGGCATATATAATGCAAAAGAGCAGTCCAACAACAAGCGCCACAGAGTTATTAGGTGGGCTAGGCGGTTTCCTAGTGCAGTCAGCAGAAACAAAGGTCAGATTCTGATGGTAACTTCTTTGAAAGTCTATAGCCGTTGGTCCTCCATAAAGGAAAAGACTTGAGAGAAAGGGCACAATGTTTACTTTGGCCTGAAACAAAGAAAATAAAAGCTTCAACAGAAATCTTAACAAGTAATTTGGCCATTACAAAATATCACTTTGTCAATGGGAAATCACCATTATACTTTATGCAGGTTCACTGAGATTAGGAGATTAAAATGTATACATTTTGGGCTGTGACTGAAAATGATAATATGCTTATGTGGGCATACTATGGCAGCGGTAGTTTACTCTTTAGCATGTGGGTTAAATAATTTCTCAGTCCATGAGTTTCTGGATATAAATTGTAATTGGATTTAATCACAAATGGCAGCTAGGAAAAAACAAGCTAGATGCATCATGAGATGATTATACTTGCTTCTGAAACATCCAGAAAAAGGGGAAGTGGGGGAAATATTAAAGCAAGAAGATTAGACAACAAGAAAGAAAAGAACACTGGAAAAGGATTTTAAATATATTGACACTGGAAAGGGTCCAAAAGGGCAAATGGGCCTAAACTGGAAAAAAAAAGTATTAAAAATAAAAGGAAAAGATCTAGCATATTTTGGGCATTGTATAATCATGATTTAACACTAGCCACTCTCTAAGGCAAGACATCACATGAGGTCTGAGGAAGTGCTGGGATCCTACTTTTTCAAGAGGAACAACTTAAGTACCTGTAGGTGTGTCTACACAAGATGCTTTACTGTGCAGGAGACTAATCTACTGTGCAGTAAAGTGGTACCATGTATATGTGCATGGCACTTACTGCACAGTAAATTAGCCTACTGTGCAGTTTGCTAGTACCTGTAAATACAGGCACTAGATTAACTGCACAGTAGTTACTGCACAGGAGTGCTTGTGTAGACACAGATGGGGAGCAAATTTACTCTTGGTCAGCTACACCAGTAGAGGGCCACAGGGGATGGGGGAGTTCTCTGTCCCTGGTCCTGGTGTTGCAGCCAATCAGAACTGGGATGGAGTCGCTCTCTGCCTAACACCCCCAACCCCCATCCTGGCACAAGCAGAGCAGTGTCAGGACTGGGGAGCTCTGCTTCCCCACTCAGGCAGGAGCTTGCTGGCAGTTGTCCTACTTGTGGGGCAGCTGCTGGTGAGCCCCCTGCTGGGCTGGGATTCCCAGGAGTGGGACAACTTCCAGTGAGCCCCATGCTGGGTGGGAAAGCTTTGCTGGGCACAGGACTTGCTGGCAGCTGTGTATCCTGATGTGCATGGGGTTGGGAGAGCAGTGCCAGCTGCAGCGGCAGGTGTCTCCTGGCCCCATGCACATCAGAACCCCTCCCAATGTGCACGGGGCTGGGAAACAACTGCTGCTGCAGCCAGCAGAGCTCTCCTGGCCCTGTGCTCATCGAGACCAGCCCCCGTGCTCCCTGCCTACCCCTTGGCTAGCATCCTGAGGGAGCCTGGAGCTCCTCCTAGCTGCCACAGGGCTGCAGAGTAGGGCTGCTCCCATTGGGAATGGATTTGGTTCCAAGAGGTTGCATATGTAGATGTGCTCCCAGGGAAGGCTTGCTGCGCAGTATTTTATTGATTACCTGCACAGTATTTTAGTGCACTGTAAACCTGTATTGCATTAATAGCACATGTAGATGCGCCCTGTGAGAATTGAGAGCATACAGCCCCTCAGAGGAAAGAGCAGGACTATGAAAAATGTGGCCTTATACAAATATATATATATGCTTTTGGAGTGTGCTTGGGGACCACTTTGTGTTTCAGATGTCACTGTCCTTCTGAAATTCATTCTATTTATCTAACTCAGACATTTAGCTTTAGCTGGTAATGAAAGCTGGGCATTCCTATATTTAATGACATGGACTAAGAACACTAGGACTGGTATTATTAGTAGTACTATTATTTGAACTATTGAACCTAGGAGCCCCAGTTACTTACATTATATTTTATGTTGAGAGTTACAGGCACTGTGGGAAGCTCAACCATCTCTTTCACTGCTGTGTCTGCCAAGTAGAAGGCAATGTGGTCTGTTGCTATGATCACCACTGTCAGCAGCAGCATCAAGGTGAGAAGCAGCATGCGCATGAGGCACACCATTGTTTCCTCCCGCGAAAGCTTCAGGCCAGTTGATTTGATAAGGTTTTTGGGCAAGCAGGCCAGCAGGTTGGTTGTTTCATTCTCCACAGCTAAACACTCCAGCTTCTTGGTGATATAAATGTTGTCAAATTGAAGGTTGGTGAGATAGCTTTTCAAATACCAAGCAGACTCAAAAAAAAGATAGGACATGAAGAAGCCAGCCACCACCCTGTTGCTTATGAGGACTGCACCCTTGACCAGCAGTTCAGTAGCAAAGAAATCTTCTTTTATCTTTTGACTAGCAAGGCCCAGCTGCTGCCTAATTACAGAGGTATTTCTATCCACAAGAAGCTGAAAAGGTCCATTCATGGGCTTCCAGACTAATAAGCTGTCAAAGACTGGTTTGATGTGGTGACCAAACTCCCAGGAAGCACTCCCCAACAGGGCAGTTGAATTCAGAAGACTCTCAGAGGAATTCTTACAAATGCACTTAATAACCTGCAGTATGGTTTTAATGTTTCCCATGATATTTGGTGTTATATTAACTGCCACAATCATGAAGCAGGTAGACAAGAGAAGCCTCCGGCCTTGTTTAGTACCTAGCGTAGGCACAATAATAGTGACCATGCAGCGGAAAGGATGCACCAAGAAAAGGGCCAATAGAAGCAGAAAACTGAAGAAAGCAGCAGTTGCAGCAGAGAGATGGGCTGGATACTCTAGTGAAGCAAACAACCAGTTGTAGAAGAGGCCACCTATTAAGGCTGTGATGCAGCAGCACTGCAGAAATAAGGCCAGGAGCTCATTGCAGCTGGACGGAACTGGCTTAGAGTAGGTAGACCATGCGGCTGACACGACTTCCTGTATCTTTGGAAACAGAACATCTTGGCAGTAGATCCAGCCTCTCCACCTGCACAAAAAGAACCAATGGATGCAATGATACAAACCAGAAGTCTGTGTAAAACAGTCAGGGAGAGGGGAGGCAGAGTAACATCCAGCACCAAACAGTCCATGACAGAAATAGGACAAAAAGACTCTGTCCAATGACTTTCCATTATTTTTCTGGGCACTGGGGAGGGCGTAAGGGCGAGGATACAGTAGCTGCAAGAATGTGGCTTCTTTGAAATGAAGTACTAACAGGTCTCCTTCATGCCTGTCTTTCCCTGAATGTAACTTGTTTCTCACTTCTGTCTCTCTCTACAGGCTGTAGAGCTTTACTTAGCATCTGGGACTTGGGAGACTTTCCTTCAAAACAGAACAGGAAAATCATAGAGAAGCAGGGCTGGAAAGGACCTCCAGAGGCCAACTAGTTCAACCCCCTGCCTGAGGCAGGATCCTCCCTATCCAAACTATTCCATACAAATCCTAATCTAAATGGTACATAAGACTACCCTCAACCCTGATGCAAGATAGACCTAACACCCCAACGTGCCACAGGTAAAGTAAGGGAACTATGGCAGCCAGTGTCCTACCTATATAAAATGTTGTCAATATATGCTCAAGAGATCCCAGGTAGAGGGTCACACCCCCCTGCCCCCAACAGAAGAAGGCAACCCCCCGCCCCCCCCCTACCATACAAATCTGACCATGGGGTAAAATTCCTTCCTGAACCCAAATATGGTCAAAATCTCAAAGTCTTTCTTGGAAGCTCAAAATTAGTAAATTGCAACTCACTAGCTCTTTCTTAAATATAATGTAGAATAATATTATACCTGGGCTGCAGGCTCTTTGGTACAAGGACAGTCTTTTTGCTTTTGTGTTAATACTTAGTATAATAGGGTGATAACCCATAACTGGAACTCCTGATACAGTAGTACAAATAATAGTACTACTAATAACATCGATCCTACAATTATTATAATTGAGCAAGGCAGATTCTCTTTAATTAGCCAATATTTGATTATAGTCTATGAAGGTAGACTAGGATCTTTTCTTCTTTATAACATAAAAAACCAGGGGACATTGAGTTAAAATGTGGCAAATTCCAAAGGCTAAAAGACAGTATCTTTTCACACAATACGTGCTCATGCCTAGAGAAAGTCATCAAAGATAAGAATTTCACAATATTCTAGAAGCATTGATTGAACATTTATATGAAAAGTAGGACTCCCCAGGATTAATAAAAGCAATCATTCTTGTAGCAGTGTTAAAACTTGTGTTCATGAAAAAGGCAGTGTCTAGCTGTTAGAGATGTGGATGAGATTTAGAGGGGAGCAGACTGCCCTGCACACTGTGGGCTCCATATACCCTTCCCTAAACCCATTGCTTGCCGGTCACTGGTGGAGACAGGGTTCTGGATTAAATGTCACATCTATTTTCTGCATCCTGTGACTCACATCAAACATAGCCCCTGTTATTCTTTGGGAAGAGCATTTTGAAAGAGCAATTTTGGAACAGCTTTTCCTTGAATGTTCTACAGATACCGTCAGTTTTGTAGACAGTGTGAGATTGAGATAAAAATGGATTCTACATACCTGCATCTGTGAAGATCCCCCATGCTCCACCATAAGTGCTCAGTGCTCCAGCAAAATCTCTTGCCACTTAGTACATTCAACAGGAAATCTCAGGCATGACTCTCAAGAGATACGGGCAGAAGAACCAGGACAGAAGATCAGCTGGGGCTAGAGGAATTTTAAAATCGTTCAAATCATTGTGAAGGCTGGGAATTCAAGGTTTGTAGGCAAGAGAAACAAAAAGACCCAAATAAATGGAATACTAAAAAGCGGCGGCAGAGTTCTGCTTGCACCTCTTGAGGAACATCTCCTGAGGTATATATATGTACGCAGAAGCCTTGTGGTTTAAAACCCACAGAGGATATTACGAGCATCGCCCACAGAAAGCAGAAGTGTGAGGAGTCCAAAAGGAACCAATTAGATGGGTTTTGTGCATGTGGTAATTTACAACATTGGTCATTCTGAGTAATATTTACTCTTCGGTGTAATCCTCTTTTTATTTTATTTTTTCTGGAGTCTTTTATTTGCAAGTAATTTTTTGCTCCCTAATAATACCTGCCTTGGGATGATAGAGGATTTTGCTGTTGCTGTTCTGAGCATTAGGGTGAGGAACTCATTGCCTGCCCTGTTGAATTCACCCTGTCTCTCCATACTTTCCATTAACCCTTCAACTTCCATGTTTTACAGAAGTGGTTTTAATTTGGCCATTTTTACCTCCAGTCACATCAGGTCCCCTTCTTCCTAAGTAGAGTTGTATTGTTTCTGATAGGTATATTACAGTGGGTTTCAAACTGGTTCTCCTGATCTGCTTTTATAAAGTCAATCTATGTTCACCAATAGTGATTGTTGAGCTCTGAGGTGTGGCAGATGAGGGCAAGACGTTCATGTACCACTCTAGTAGCATGAACTACAATGCCCAGAAGCCTGCAGGGGACAGGAAGACGGTACCCTAGTGTAAACTGCAGCTCCCAGAAGCCCCCAGGGGACTGAAAGAATGAGCAGCAATGTGCACTACAACTCCTAGAAAGTAGAAGGGGGTAGGAGGAAGCAGAGAAAGCAGTGTTGGAGCATGGGTCACACAGCAGTGAGGGAGATGTGTAGCCAGAGAGTCAGATGGAGTGGCGGAGCTAGGACTGCAAGCTGCAGCAGTGGGGCTCAGATGTGGAGCCTGAGCATTTGGCATTTAAGCATTTTATGGGACCAGAGGCTGGTTTGGAGCCCTCTGGAGTTGTGGGAAGGTTTAAGGTTCTCAAGTGTATATATAACAGTGACTGTATCTACCCGAGTGGCGGACTGTGCAGTTGTGTTACTGCGCAGGCATTTAGTACTTGCATAAGCAAGTACTAAATGCCTCCACAATAACAGGCATTACTGTGCAGTACTGTCACTGGACGGTTTTTTCCCAACCCTACAGCACGGTAACAACAAGGTACTGTGCAGTAGGTCATTACTATTGCACAGTAGTATCATGTCATGGTTAGTGCCCGGCAATGCTACTGTGCTTTAACAATGAGCTACGGCATCATTGCATCTCATGTAGCATCTCATGTAGATGTGCCCAGTGTTAGTGTTTTCTACCAGTTACCTGTTCTTGGCTGATTTCACCACTGTCTCACTGCTTACTTCCTGTTAGCCAGATCCTAAGTATATCTACCTTAATGTTAATGTTTATTTACCTGTGTCTGCACTCCTCTCCTTAGCCCATTGGCTTGTGACGCTAATCCCCATCATGTAGAAAAGTAGAAACTCCCCTTTCGGGCTCTTGTGCCAGTTCCTGGGGTTGCAGAGTTTGGTACAGACATTAGTCACAGTATGTAATGCAGCTGACAGGTGCTCAGCATCTACAACCATATGCACAGTGCAAGAAACTGATAGAACAGAACAGAATCCAATTTGATTGCTTAAAAAAAATGCAAAATGTTTTTCCCTTGCAATCTTTCAATGAAAAAGCTCATACTTAAACAAAATGTAAATGTTTCCTTTCAGCTGGCATTTTTCTGCCATTCAGGTCTTTAAAAGTGAAAAGGTGTCCAGTGTGGGATTTTTGGTTCCCCACTTTTCTTCCCCACCTCAAGCCATCCCTATAGATAAGCAAACTGTATTTGCATTGAATGCAGCTGCTCTAATCTAAAGCCGGTCACTTACCTGCTGCAGGAGAGGTGATTTAGTGGTTAGAGCCTCAATTTGGGAGTTAACTACTTTGAATTCCAATTCCCATTCCTGCCAATGACTCTCATGCAAGCCTTGATCACCACATTTCCCTTCTCTGAGCCCTGCCTTCCCCATCTAGATATTAATACTACATGACCCACTTTGCAGGAGGGAGGGGTCACACTGAAGGACCACATATAGTAGTGCCCTGGCTGTGTGGGGTAAAGCCTTGTTTCTGTAAGTCCCATTCTGAGATAAGTGATTCAGAGACACAGAGGAAGTAGGAGCAATCATCACATGGTCACTTTGTGACCCTCAGTCATAACATATTAGGATATCATTAGTTCCACTCTCATCCCAGCTGATTTCCTTCTGCTTTGACTATGCAAGGAACCACTGAAAACAGAAAAACCCAGGGGAGGGTTTTCATCCCCCTACAAATAAAACAAAAACAAAACAAAGGAGAGTTTTCTATTTCATTAGTTTCTTTTTTAATTCCTTGTCACAGGGGTTCTTTTTTAAACCTTGTTGTATCGTAAGAATAATGTTACAGCTGGGGGGGGGCGGGAAACAAAGCCATACGCAGATTCTGCTGTTTCAAAGGATCTCAACTTCCACACAGAATCATTCCTTCCTGACCTTCCATTCCTTCCTGATCATTCCAATACTACCCGCTTGGGAATGGTTCTGTTGCATCTATAGGTCTTTACCATCAACTGCAATATGAACGCACCACATGGGAACAGTAGGGTCCAGCTATCCAAACCTACCAGTACTTACTACATACAGCATGCTACATTAGCTATATACAAGCCTGTTTCAGAAACTAACAGCAATTTCAAAATAAAACAATTTTGCATGCAACAATTATTTTCTGGACCACATCACTTCTCTATATAATTTTAAGTGATGGGTGCATGTGCCACTATCAGTGTTTCTTGATGCTGTGTAGTTTTCCACTTTGTCACAGACAATCAGTGTGAACAGCCATTTTGCTGTTCGTTTCTGAAACACCCTCATACATAGACTAGCACTCTGACCTGGGGCGGGTGAGGCAGCCATGGGGGGGAGTGGGGAGGGGTCAGGGCAGAGCCCCCCATGCAGCATGGGGTAGTGGGGGGCAGCAGGGATCACCCCCCTACACACCTGGCAGCACCCGGTGAGTGGGGCCTTTTTTTTTAAAGAGCCGGGAGCTGGGGCAGGGGGGGCAGCCATGGCAGCGGATGGGGCCTGGCAGGGGGCCCCCCATGGTCTCTTCCCTCCTCCTCCAACCCCCCTCCCCTGCTCCCTACTTACTGGCATGGAATCTGGCTCCAGCTCCCAGCTGCAGTAGGCGGGGACTGCCCAAATTGCTGAAGCTCTCCGAATCTTTTTCGAATCATTTGGAGAGCTTCAGACCTTTTAATTGGACTCCTGATTCGATTTGGATTTGGAGATTCGGCCACCGAATAGGGTTGAGTCTCCTCTGAATTGAATCAGCACCCGAACTGAATCAGCGCAGCCCTAATTACCAGCTACTTGATGATTCTGCCTGTTGATTCATCAGGGACTATAGCTAGCATGTGGTCTGCTAGCTAATACTCAAACACCTTCTCAGCAAGGCAGAGGAGAGGGGGGAATTTCTGCTTAGCAGGGAGTGGTGAGGGGAGGGGGGAAGCAGCCCACAGTCTCTGGAGCTCCAGCCAGGGAGGAGAGGGGAGGGGCCAGCTCTGCTGTGGAGCAGAGAGCCCCACCCAGCCCAGAGAGTATGCTGGGATCCTGGGGGTGTCTGGTTTATCTTAAGCCAGCAAGGGATCTGGGACAGACATTGCATAAACAGTTTGAGCCAAATCAGTTAAGTCTGATACTACATTCAACCAGGTTTAGCTCAAACCGGTCTCAGCCATTCTCAAACTAGTTTATGTGTACTGAACATCTGCTCTGTTACAGGTTTAAACCAGTTTCTGATCACTTAAACCAGTTTATGTGTAATGTCTGTCCCTAGCCGTAAAGGCATATTATCCACTCCCTCTATACTACAAATTCCTTATCTATTATCAGTCCTTTAGCCTGAGATAATGCTTAAGCAAATGGCTGCAACTAGATTCCGCTCTTGTCTCCTACTATAGAGCTGTTTCATCCCTTCCATGCTGGAAAAGCAGAAGGAGCAACGGTGTTAGCTTCACATAAATTTCTGTCACATGCATCGGTGACTTCCATCTCTTCTGTGAAAGGCTGTGCACCCATTCTGATAGCCCAAGTATGGCCTCCTGGGATGGGTGGAAAACAAAGCTCCCAACTCCAGAAGTGATTTTACCAGGCAGGTGTGCGTTACTTGTGAGTTACTTCTAAAGATCTTAATAGCATTAAAGGCCAGGAAAGCCCAGTAGGATTATCTCACCTGCCTTGCCATGTATCACAGACCCAGTTATCCTGGCCAAGCAACTTGCAGCTGAGCTACAGTAGATCTTTTAGAATGACTGGCACCTTTCATTTAAAGATCTCAAATGACAGGGACTTTGCCATACACTGACGATGGCTCCCTGAGGTCAACTGGTAAGTTAGACAGATGCCAGCATACAAGCCCGGTAAAATCTCTCTATGATTCTTGATTCAGTTGCTGGCCATTAAGCTTGATATGGGCTTGTATGTTCTATGGGAGCTGTTTCTGTTTTCTGGAAAAAACACATCACACCCACAGTGTTACACTAAAAAGACTGCTTCTTTAGCCTGAAGTTATTAGCAGCAAATTCCAGCTCACTTGCCAAGCTGTTAAAACCTTGTTAAACATCTTTGAAATAGTGAATTTCTGTTCAATTTTCATGTGCTCTTTGTCCTGTTGTGACATGTGATCTCAGCTTGTTTCTTTGGATGTGAACTTCCTTGTGCCTCCCACTCCCAAGTTGTTCTCATGACTCCCAAGCAATGGAGGGCAAAGGCTGCTGGAGTAAATGCCGCGTTCAGATTCCTAGCTCCTGTGGGGACTGGTGCCATAAAGATATCAAAGAGAAAGAGAGACAGATGAAAAGAGAATAGGGCTGGGTTGTGGGGTGGGATTCACAGCAACAGATAACAGATGCATCAGTTCTGGGCCAGAGACTACAGTGCAGTGTCATCAGTCAAGCTGCAGTATAACTAGAAGCAGCCTAGTGCTATTCTCTGTAACAACTGCTCTGGAGATTAGCTGTTTGATATGGCATCCAGCCCAAACCTCCTTTTTCCTCACCTCATGCCTCCTAAGCTGGGAGGCTGGAAAGAGGGGAAAGGAGCAGGCTCTATTTATGCCTGTCAAAGGATTCCCCCACTCAGAGAATCGGCCTGCCCCCACCAGGTTCATAGTCAGCCAGAGTGTACCTAATTGCCAAACCATGCAATAGTGTCCTCGGTGGCCATGTGCAGTTCCTGTAGTCCACCACTGAACTTAGTCAGCGGGCAGTCATTGAAAATATGCAACATGGTGTTTTGCCATAGCTACAGTCTGGACTGCTGTGAAGAGCCCAGTAGTGGAGGTTGGCTGCACACAGACCTTACCCTGTCTGGAACCTATTCAGCAGGCCCCATTGACGGTCCACCAGGTTCATAGCCACTTTGGGATAGCAGGTGAGCCCAAACAGGCTCCTGCATACAAACCTCATTCTCTTGTACTGATCTTTACTTGAGCTAAAATTGTTACTTTACAGAAAAAGGTAATGTAATGTTGGCTTTATAGTGAGGTTAAGCAGCTGCACATTACACTATGTGCTTAAAGGAGCAGCCACAGACACAATAGAGTACAAGCAAATGCAGCAAAATGTCATGAATGTGATCAAACTGCTTGAGTTAACAAATGAGGTGTATTCAGCATTAGCAGCTCCACCCCAACTATTCTGCACTGTACTTAGACTAATTACTCTTCCCAGGCGGCTGATAACACAAAGGTTTCCTAGCGGTGCCTCAGCTATCATATGGCATGCAGAGATCAGTTGCTGAATGTGGCACGTGGAACTTCTACAGCTGTTCCAGCTGTGAAGGGAAGACAGAGAAGCACAAAAGAGGCTGTTATTATTTTGAGCTTCCTTAGAAATAGCTTGCAAGGGTGACAGATTAGGATATGAATTAAATTTCCAGACTAGAAATGTGTTGAACAAAGGTCCAGCAGCTGTTTCTTGCAGGATTAATTAAGTTCTCATAAGGAGCTATTGGAAAATGAATCTATTTTCTGCTTTCTCCCTTTATTTCAGTATAAGCTAATATTAGCACCAGTTGAGTGAACAGACCAGGCCTGGACCTGACAAACAACCCAGGCAGCCAGTTTTTTTGTGGGGAACCACACAATATTCAGTGATGTTCTGTATTACGTAGGTGCCTATGGGCAGCGGAAGATGGATATTGTCTTTTGTAACAAGAGATCTAATCCTACAACTTGGTCTCTCGTGATAAATAGATGTTATCTTCTGGATCTGCGTCTGTGTCCTGAAAATGTAAAGTACTACTAACAAACTGGGCCTGAGTTAGAATCAATTCTCTGTTTCTCGTTGTAGCTTATGGGTCAAAAACAGTGGTTTCCAGCCTCATTAGACTCAAAGTCCCCCTTGGAAAATGCCAACTCTTTGCTTTCATTTGTTTTTTTGACTATGGAAAAATACTAGCACTATTTTTCTGTTGAAGAGAACTCAGAAAGCCCACAACAGGTCAGAATGCTTTTGACACTTTGGATTCTTGTTTGAAATCTCTGAGTTTATTTTGTGAATCGTGTAGATGTTTCCACACCTAACAATGCTGACATTGCATGGTACCTCATGTTACCCTTAAAAGGACGTCATGGCACCCTGGATTGCTGCAACAGCCTGGCTGAGAATTGCTGATCTGAAGAGTTTCATTACCAGTCCCAAAAGACCCTGTCAGCCAAGGGCCATAAAGTCACGTGCATGCGCACATGTATGTGAACACATGAACACACACACAAAATCAGAATCTGTGATACCAATTTGCAATAACTCTCTTCTCTAAACATGACTCCTCTTTCACTTAATTGCTTTCTTGTCCTCCCAGCATTTCTCTGATTTAGAATTTGTGCCATTTCTTTTCCAGTTATTATATCATTTAGTTAGTTAATGCACCTGCAAAAATGCATTGTTGGATAAATAGTTTTTTGGTCCATGTTGCATCATAAGGGGACAGCAGAGAGGCCATGGAGCAATGTTGGAGCTTGGGTTCTTATTTCTTTTCTATGCAGCCTGCTGATTTGCTGCAGATGAGCCAGAAATCCCAACCACTAACTTTTCCAGTGCATAATACATCAACTGCCTTCACTGACAAGAGGGTTTTTTTGTGATGGGGGAGGAAATCTTTCTCTATGTGAAGCAACTGTGACCTCTCGTGGTTGGATGCTGCCATACCACTTCATGACTCAAGCCTGTTTGATCTCTACAGCTGATCAGGTTTCCCTTTGGATGGGTGACCTGAAGGAAAAGTCGGGCACTACAAGAAATACTCATTGTGGTAGTTCAGTAAATGGAACTCTGCCTTTGGAGTCAGTGGAAAACCAGTGCCACTTTGTAGTTATTACTGGGCAGCACTGTCCTTTGTAGGAGTAATTTGCCACTTTGGGTCACTAATGGTCCAATTGCACAGTTCTGAGCACTTAGAACCCTCTTTCCTGACCAATTCCAACTCGGGAAATTATCGTTAGCCACCCAGATCTCCCCTTGTTGTTTCACTTGTATATAAAAGTCTTCTTTACTTTGGGGTCTAAACTCCTGGAAGAGCTGCTGTGAACTGGTACCTGCTATGTGTAGCCCTAGAGGCAGCTGCATTTCACTGGTAGAGGGGCTCAGTTACAATGGTGATAGGGGCAGTGTAAGAACTAGACAGGTAGTGATTCTTCCATGTAAAGCACTTTATTGCCTTTGAGGTGAAAATGCAGAAAAATAAAAATGCATTATTTTTATTACTATAAATAAAACCAAGTTTGTATCAATCTGAACATCTCAGGCGACTATTTAGAATTGCACCCAGGATATGGGTTGGATACAAAGACATAAAGGGAGGATATTCTGAATGTCAAATTTTAATGAGTGAATGGTATTTGCTATTTATTAAAATTAACAGGAGAGAACAAGTGAATAGTTCTCAGGATGATTACTGGGTTTTTACATTGAAAGAAAGCTGGTGCAGATGCCGATAAAGTTCCTTTATACTAACTTGGTCTAAATTATAGAAGATTAACAGAGTAGTTCAAATGTCCTTCTCTGGAGACTTTCAAATCTCCCATCACCTAGTGTACCAGGAGCCTGGAAAGCTGTCTTAGGTCATTTATAGATGTTACATTTTTCTAGGTTTAATTTGGATTACAGCCATCACTACATTCACATGGACATCTTTAGTCTGAATTAAAATTAGCTCCAGCCCAAATTAACTAATCCTCATTGAATGAGGATTAAAGTTAATGCAGGCTAAGGGAGTCTGAACTAGGCAATTTAAAGTGTATTAACATGTATATACGGCAGGTATCTAGGGCTTGTTGCTGCTCATGCCCACCACTAGGTCTGGCATCAGATGCCTCCTGCCATCTCTACTGCAGAAGTGCAGAAATGCACAAAAACCTCCCTGAGGTCAATGATTGTCTATTAACCCTTCATTTGAACTGAAATTTGATTCAAATTGTGTGATGTGAATCAGTTAACACAGTTTAGAAAACAGTGAGCGTGTCTACAAACAGCCTTAATAACCAGTGGGCTATTTCACCTTAGGTGGTGAGGAACATGAAGAATTAAGATTTAAATTTAGTCGGGGTTACATACAGATCTGATAAAAATTTAGGCTTGAGTCGCTTCAGAGCTAGCAAGAGAGCTATACAAACTGGAAAGATTTGGAAAGAGGCAAAGTGGTTTGTGAGGCATTATAAAACTGTTGCTATGAATTTGGGGGTTAGTCACTAGTAGCACCAAGTGCAAGAGAGAATTTCACGCTAAATAATATACTCGTAAACCCATGAAACAGGTTGCACAGATTTAGGGGGTAGAAGTCAAAAACTTGGGGACATGTATACTCTCACAAATTAATGGATACAAAGGTATAATATAATGCTTTATACTTAGAAATGCTGTATAAGAGCAAGGAAACATCGAAGCCCTTAGGAATGCACCATTGTTGGGCTCTGAGATCAGTGTCCTGATTATAAGGATATTTCTAGAGAGAGCAGAAGTTCAGCCTTTGGGTAGCATATGGGACAAGGAGGTGGGGCGCCTGCATTTTGTTCCTAGCTCTCCCACAGTGTGGCCTTGGGCAAGTCCTTTATCCTGCCTGTGCCATGGTTTCCTCACATGTAACACAGCAGTAACAAAACTGCCTTTCCTCACTGGAGTGGTTGCATCTGTAAGGCACTTTGAGAGCCTTGCTTAGAAAGTGCTACAAAAGTGTCCAAATCCTATGAGCTGCTCTTATGAGATTTCTGGCAGATGGAGCGATACCTAGTTAGGGCCTTCTCCAGCCCCACAGGACAGGACAGCAACCTAGGATCCAGCCACAGACTGCTAGCACCCCGCTCCCCCACCATGGAGCGCAAGCAAAGCCCAGCTCTCGCTGCGCTCCCCAGAGGAGGGTGCCCAGTCAGTCATGGGACATGGCACCTCGCAGCCTGCAGTGAGGGCATGTGCTCTGCAACTCTTTAATGCTTCGGAGCATGCAGTGCAGCAGCAATGAGCGTGCTCTCCTAGCACCTATTCCCCAGCATGGCATTGCACAGATACAATTGCTTCAGCCTCTGGTACCCTGCACGTGCCTCTTCCACCCTGCATCTCTGGCTTGATTGCCAGAAAAATGGCATATCTGCATTCAATATTTGCATTCATTGGGATGGTTTCTAGGTTGAGCTGAACAGATGTAATGCAAGCAGAGCCCCATTCTCCTCCTACCATATAAGTCTATTAAGTCACTAGAGTGAATTCAATGCAACTGAAAGGGGAGACTCAAGCCTTCCCATTTGTGATCTACAGATACAACATCACAACGTGACCTGCCAATGAATGCATTTTATTTTGTAGTTTCCACAGTTGTGAGGATTTTGCATGGAGACTGATCTAGTTTCAGTAAATTTGTTTTGGTGGTTTCAGCATGACCTTTGCAAACATTCATATCTGTGATGTAATCTTAATGTCATTTGCACAACAGCAGCAGCAACTATGATTAAAGAGAGAATTGGGTCTGATGGATAAATTACCCTGTCTGCTCTTGGAGCTGACACCGACTGTTATCAGTAACATAGGAGTAATAGAGAAGAACTTGATCCTCAGCTGGTGTAAATCAGTTTAGCTCCACTGACTTGACTGGAAATCGGCCAGCATGTACCAGCTGAGAATTTGGGACCAGCTGAGTCCAATATCCAACTCAGTGCAAGGACTCTCTCTTCCACCTCTCCTGTATCACACCAGAGCCCTCATCTTTTAAGCCATCTGTTTTAAACATAGATCTTTTTAATTAAATATACTGGTTTCTTACATGCCCAAATTAAAAGATTTTGGCTACAATGGTGATGAGATTGTGGTCAATTTGCATATTCTTTCATTAAAAAGATCCAAGCAATCAGATTTAAAAAATATAAGAATCAAAAGCTATTCATCAAAGATGTCAATAGTATTCCTCTGCAGTCTGTCACTGACCTGTGACTTAGCAGCTTTCTCATGAGTGAGGCAACCTCAAAGCTCCAGTTTAAAAAGTTCATGAACTTAAGACAGGCCATACCTACCAGTAGTGTAACTCCATTAATATCCATGGATTTATGTCAGGTTTGTATTTGGCCCCAAATTGCCACTTGTCCAGTCAGTGCGAAGGCATGGTTTGAAATTATTGGGTTGAAAAAGTCTCAAAGTAATTCATGTGTTTTGAAACACACTTCTGCCTTGGTGTTTCCAAACTTTCTCACTGTGGAGCAATAAGCCATGTTCTGGCTAGACACCTCCTGAGTCATCCTTTCATGAAAATCTGAAGAAACAGTCTTCATCCTACATGGCACAATCACCTGTGAGATCCTAATGAAATCTTGACTCTACTGAGCATTTTAGAATGACAGAGCTCAATCTGCCTCTCACTGGGTCAGATTCTGATACCCTTTTTCATACTGAGTAGCACCTTAAATGGCCTCATTTGACTCCATGCCTGGAAGTGCAGTTACTACCCTGACTCATGTTGGATATCGGAAATTAGCTAATTGATATTAACCTCAAAGCTCCTAGAGTTTTTAACAGGAGTGGTATCTTCCCAAGGTACTGTCAGACCCTTACTAGGGTATGAATGTCCTTCCATATGAGGGACTAAGTTCTCTTGAACACTCTGATTGGTATCTGTTGGAGATGTGGGGACTCTTCCACTAGGAGAAACATTTATGTTGTGACAATGTACAATATTCATACACATAAAACAACTGGCTGCAGTGGCTGGTCCTTTGGGGTATGAGCAGTGCTGAGGCCTCTCCTATGCATTCTCTCCAATGATTCCAGTGCTCAAGTCCTAAGCAAGTCCCTCCTACTTCATGGCTCATATTTTGCTGAGCGAGCTTAAAGTGACATTTTCCACATCTGTCAACAACACTGTGACATTTTCCGCATGGATGTTGGCCCATGCAGGGAAGCTGCCCAGCTGGAAGATGCTTTTGGCCCAGGTGTTCATAGCCAAGCTGAGGAGCAGAACCCCCATGAGATTCATGAGAAGCCCAGTTCTTGCCTGTGAAAGAAATACCAATATGTTACACCTGAGTGCAGACTGGAAACCCAGAGCATATGAGGCAAGGAGCCTAGCTGACTAGGCTGGGGCTGACCACACAGGGTTTAATTATCAGTCATTGACCCCTGCTGGTGTTATATAAAGTATGCAATTAACTGGTTAACGGTGTAATAGTACTGTTTTTAACAGCCACCTGTGCAAAGTAATCATCACACAATTAACATGTTAATCACACAATAAATTTAGACCAGCCACATGTGCAAAGGAGTTATCATACAATAAAAATGACTATTCAGTTATTAAAAAGCCAACCAGCTACACCACTAATGCTTGAAAATATGTAACAATTTTGTAGCTTGTTTCTATCCAGCTTTAATTTGAATGTGTAGCAGGGCCTTATTAAAAACATTTAAACTAGACTTTCCAAAGCCACTCCCCCAAATCCCACACAGGTCCTTATCCAACAAAGCCCTTTAGGACATGCTCAACTTGCAAAACATAAGTAGTCAGTGGGACTCCTTCCATGCTGAAAAAAATCATGTGCATACTTGATTTATTTAATTGGGACCCAACCCTGTACTACTGAAGTTTGGAAGCTTAGCCCAGGGTGTCAGCAGGAGCTGAAAGACTGAGCAGATGCAGCTTCTATTGCTCTTCTTCACTGGGAGAAGTGGATGCTCAGAACCTTTGAAGACTTTTTAACAATGCTATCAATGTGTTTTGTGGAGTGTATTTAAGATTAATTTCTGCAGCAGTGAAAGGATCTCCTAAGACTCTAAATCTAAGGAACATGGCTACAACATGCACATGCTGAGCATTTGAAAATCCCTCTTCAAAAAAATGAATAAAAGCCCTCTCTGTCCCCAAGCTCCTGTTTTATTTTCATCCTAGAAAAGCACCCCTGCCTGCAATACAATAAAGGTCTATGTGTAGTGAATGAGCAAAACCAAGGATCCTTTCAATCAATTAATAGGAACAAAGGGTTCCATAAAAGTCGAGCAGTATGTAGACAGAGGGAAAGACGAGTAAATGAAGAAGGTCACTATGTAATCCTTACCATATTTAACAGAGGAAAAACCCAGCAGAGCCCATTGCTACCAAAGGCAGCAGGAGGCTGACAAACAGCACATCTACTTGCTTTAGAAACTCAGCTTTCTCCCAAGCCTTGTTCAGTGTTTAACTGGGCAATAGGCCCACTGGCTTCAGCCAGAGTAAAACTGGGAAGGAGCGTCAGGATTTGGCCGGCTGTTTCCTAGGTATTCAGCTGTCACTCCACTCAGAACAAGGCACAAGCTCAGACAACTATGGCAACAATTTAACCCCAGTCTAAAGCAGGGCAACGAGTACAAAGGGAAGGAGAGAACAGACTTTATCAGCCACTTGCTGCTGCTGCTCTGTAGCAGCTCCAGTACAGGGCACGTTAGCACACTTGTGGCCAAAGGGAACTGGGGTTAGATAGGAAAGTACCGGATGGGAGGGCATGCTGGCCTCCTTTGGGCTGAGCAGTTTGCTGCTACTGGATAAGCCTGTGCCACTGAAAGGGACTTTTACAAACCAGTCTTTCTTTTCATCCACACAAAAGGAAAGTGATACAAGTCGCCTCCTCCTGGAACTAGACAGGAGCAGAATACAAACTGGGGAAACAATCTGGCACCTAAGCAAACTGTTCTTTCAAACAAGCCAGGGAATAGGTTGGGTTTATCTCACTTAACATTACAATAAATAAAAGAGGGCAAGGGAGGGAAGCTCCAGCCTGAACTGACCCTAAACATAAAAATCAGCCCCTCTCTTCAGCTAAGCTGCGAACATGAGCTTGGCTTCCTCAGGTTCCTGCTGGGGCTTGGGGAGTGATCAGCATAATGAAATGTAGATGAGTGCGAGATCAGATCCCCTGCTCAGCAACTTGTATCTTTTTTCCCTGACTTTTCAATTCTTTAACCACCTTTAGCAGGAGCATTTCCTTCCTCTGGCTCTGTTGCTGAAAAGCTGACACAGTTAGCCAGATTCCCATGGTGTCAGATCGAAAATGTGAGCCTCATCTCAGTGCATTCAACCACCCCTGTTGCAAAGCCTTAGGGCTTGCCCCTGCAAACAGCATATATAACCACAAAGCGGAACTTGTTAACTTGGATGGGAACACCAGGGGTCTTTGCTGCCGCATTGAGTACTGGTTTCATAAGCCTCGTGACCAGAAGGGAGATCGAGTTGCTAACATGCTACATTAGCATAGTAAAGATCAAACTCAACCACCCGTGCACCATTCCTTTGTTGCACTGAATAGGAGAGTGTAAGAATTGGAGGAGGTTAGCAAGAACTGACAGGTTCTTCCAGCCAATAAGCAGACTTAGCCTGGTTTCTCACCTCACTTGCATCTTCCACTTATGCTTTCACTGCAGCACAACCACCTTGCTCTCCATTTCAGGGTCAGGCAAAGATAGGACGCAAGATTAGGAAACAAGTTAGCATCCAGCCAGTCTGACCTGAGGAAACCATAGTCTGGTTGAAAGAACAATCGCACCCTGCCATGGCTGTTCTCTAGCTTATGGCATCCCAGGAAAATATGCCCATCATTCTCCTGAGGGGCTTGCTATGGTGGGTGTTCCTAGAGCATGCCCAATGCACATGTACAGGATCAGTCTCTATACACAAAATATAGTGGTGCTTCTTTCAATACCCAGCTGAGGAGAAGAGAGTGATGAAAGGGTCTCCTTGCACAGCAGGTCATCAGTGAGGGCATTCACCCAGAACGTGAGAGAACAGGGTTCATTTTCCTTTAAGTCTCTGAGTATCTCTTGCATCTTCTTTCCTCTTTTTGTAGGAAGTAGCACATCTCCTTGTTAGCCACATTAACTGTTGTACAAGCTGTAACTTTAGTTTCTATACAGAATTTGACAGCACATCTGAGAATTCATACTTGCCTTCCCCATTAAGCTTTGTAAAATATTGAATTAGCTGCTTGTCCTGGACAGTTCTAACTTGTAGTGTTTCATCTTTCTGGCTCCCCTAGGCTTAGCCTGTCTTTCCTTGCAATTCATTTCCCTCTATCATCCTCCTGAACATGAATTGTTTGGGCAAATAATGGTTCAAGCATATCAGCTCAAGCCAGACCCCTCAGCTAAGAAAAACCTGTCTTAATTAAGTCAATTATTCCAACCCTTGATCAGATACAATGCACTTAAAGAATGCCACGGAATGTCTGATCTGAACTTCACATAAAGATAATGAAAATAAAGAGCACCTACAATACCTGACCGAGGTTAACTGGGATGCGCCATAACTTCCTGGCTTGATCTGTCCTAACCTAGAACACAAGCCAGTGAAAGAAAGGTCCCTTTGCTCTCAGAGGGCATGTCTACACATGAAATGAATGCAACACAATAAAATCTGGCAGAGTTCACATCAGAGTTTATTGCTCCTGGGTGTTGCATCTTCATATGCCTGGGACCACAGCATGTTGAGCCAGGTAGGCAGCTTCTGCACTGAAGCACCCTCATGCCCCCACCCAGCTAGCCCCATCAGTGTGTATACATGCACTGCTATGCACGAAATAATGCCACTACCACAGGATAGTACTTGTGTTTACAAGTAATAACCTATGGTAGAGTTAATTAGTTTACTGAGGCTTAATAGGGCTACTCGGGTAGAGACAGGCTTTTCTGTGAAGCTAATTAGGCTGCTCTGCAGTAAAAGTCTCATGTAGATGCGCTCAGATACCCACAGATCCAATTATGTCCAACCAATGTCAGACATTTTCTGCATCCGTTAAGGCCATGTAAGCTTAATCATAAAAAGGAGAAGTGTCATGCTAAAGAGTGTGAAGGAAAGTGCAAAGAACATCTGCTAGCTCCCCCACAGGGCAGACATGATTGTAAGGCCAGTTGCCATATGGGTCTGATCTCAAACTTGGGCAAAATGAGGAGCAGAAGACCCCCTCATTATAATATAATTAACAATAATACAATCATTTAATAACAGTTGGGAGGCAGTTACATGCCTCACTGCACTCAGTTCTTAACAGTTACATGGGAGCAACTACACTAAAGCCAGCTGACCTACTCTGGATTCACATTGGTTTAAGCAAGGGTAAAATTTGTTCCATAAATGCTTAAACAATTAAGACAGTCCAAGGCAGCAAGATTTGCATGGCAGAGATCAAGGTACTTTACATTTTTAGACACTACCAAAAACAAATGCTGACTTGTGTGTTTTTAAAATGCTCACGTGGTAGAATGTCTCAACATTATTTTTTAAACTCTTCCCTTCAGTGATTTCTAAATACAAAACAACTTACCATGTCTTTGACCAGCAAGTGTCCTGAAGAAAAGGCAATTGAGTTTGGGGGAGTGGAGACTGGCAGCATGAAAGCATAGGAGCACCCCACAGTTCCTGGTATCATTAAATACAGGGGATTTACTTTCAGACGAATTGCCTTGGGGAAAAAAACACAAGAGGAAAGGAAAACATTGACGTTTATTAAGTTAAAATGCAGAGGCATCTCAAAAGACAAGTAAACTGCATTTTGCATGATAGTATTCTGTGCTCTATGATCTATAATAGCATAGATCCTGCTGTTCTAGTGCTAATCATTTTTTTAAGTCTATTATTCTGCCGTGCTCAGACTTTGCCCAAGGTACTCCTTTAGCATCTTGCTTCCAAAGATTTCAAAGCAGCCCAAAATATTAATCAGAGCCCAAACCTGATAACATAGGTGGGATTAGCTTCTTTTCATAGATAGGAAAATTGAAACATAGAAAGAAGTGACTTGTCCAAAGTCACACCTGTAATCTAGTCAGTGGCAGAAGCAAGAAGCCAGTCTCTAGAACACACTGGCAACACAGGCAACACCGTGGTGTGATTAAGCCCCAAGGCCTTGGTGCATTCAGATGTATTACTGTGCACCAAGACCCCAAAAAAGAGACTTGAGTGACAGCTGGGGTTAGTGCACAGATGAAGTGAGGCGATCTGTGGCTGCTTACATGATCTTTACAGACCTGGGTTTCAGCTTCTTTAGTGCATCCTCTGCAGCTGACTGAGGGAGAGCTACTACAACAGAGCAAAACACTTTCATGGGGTGTTTAGGTTGTGACGGATGTGAAGCTGATAATTTCTTAATGCTATATATTCCCTGTTTATTTGAATAGTTAGGGTTAGGCAATATGGAGTTAATTGTATGCTTATTGCATGCATATGGAGCAGCAGGGCTGTTAGGAAACTAGCAGGAAAGTAACACAATGGCCCTAGATAAGTATACCCCTGGGTCGTCATCATCATTAGGCAATGCTTACGTTATTAAATTGTAAAGATGCTACATCCAGGCTCTAGCTAAAGTTACAAGAGTTTTTCTTTTCTAGACAAAGCTGGGAACCCAACATTCATAAGGACACACTTTTGGAGGACAGGAGAGAGGCTTTTGTCTGGGGTTGTTTGCAGGGAATCAGATGTATACAGAGAGAAACTCCAGCTAGAGGGTGGGGAAGAGCATGACCTGTTTGGCCTACTTGTATGGGGGAGTAAGGCTTACAGCAAGAAAGAAATGCTTATGAACTTTTTGTTGCATTAAAGTCCTTTCTCTCTTTATTTTACCCTTTATTTGTGCTATTAAGATTAAATAATCCTTTGGCTGGAGAAGCTGGTTATTCACCTGTCTTAAATAATGGTCACAGGCTCCCAAAGAGAAGACTTGCAGGTGCCAAAACAAGTCAGATCTGCTGTAGCACCAGGATTGGTACAAGAGAAACTGTAGCCCAGGCCCAGATATAAGAAAAGGAGGGTTGTAGGAGTCTGCTTCAGAACAGGTAAAGGCTCTGAGAGGGTGCACTCAGACAGACCAGAGAGCTTATCCTTGTAACCTGGACTATCTTACCAGTTCTGCCAGGACAGGCAGGAAGATTATAATTGTGGCTGTGTTGCTGGCAAACTCTGTGAATAAGGCAATCACTATGGTGATAAGCAAGACAGCCACGGGGGGTGGCACACCCTCCAGGGGTTGCAGACGGCCCCCGATCCAGACGGACAAGCCTGACTCCTACAGAAGGAGAGAAGACATGGTAAGGTGTGTATATGGGCATTTCTGCACACAAAAGACAGCTCATTTCACAAAATGGTAAGCTATAGAAAAACAGGAATCAGTTCACCCATCCACAACTGAAATTTAGCCATCTAGTGGTGCATATTATAGCACTTAGCTATTAAGGGGCAGATTTGTAAACCTATTTAGGGACTTTCACTCCCACAGAAATCAAGTGGAGTTAATCACCTAAATACCTGGGCCAAAATGTCTTACATGCCACGAATTGGCAAAATACAAAGTTAGAAGCCGAACTGATATCTTTCAAAATGAGGGCCACCCTGTTAGATGATGGTAATGTAATGTAATAACGGGCATTTCTCTGAAAATTACCTCACATCCTTTTGCCATGGCAAACCCTCCACCGAGCAGCAAGATAATGTTCCAAGGTACGGTCTCTTGAGCCTTTCTCCAGGTCAGCAAGGGCTGATTCTCAGTGTTGGGTGCTAGATAGAGAGAGATTCCCCCAAACACAGACCCAAAGATTGAACAAATGACTTGGAACCTGATAAAGCAACTGCATTATTCCGTGGTGCTAAGACAGGTTGATGATCATTTGATAAATATTAAAATACTTGATAAGTATTAAAATAGCCCTCCCTGAAAGATGATTACAGAGAGACTGCAGATTCACTTTTCTCCATAGCCATGGGAGACAGGACTAGGACTGTGACCTCAGGTTTCAGCTGGGGACAGTTAGGTTGGAGACTAGGACAAACTTTCTAATGATACAGGTGGACAAGCATTGGGACAAGCTACCTAGAGAAACTGTGGGATCTCCATCCTTGGAAATTTTCAACAGCAGGTTAGACAGATACTTACCTGAGATGGTTTAGTTAGGTGTTATCCTGCCTCAAGCAAGGGGCTTGATTAGGTGACCTCCTGAGGTCCCTTCCAGCCCTACTTCCCTTTGATCCTAAAATATTGCTAAAGGTCATCCCATTTAAATTAAATGGGCAATAATAAGAAGAAAAAAAATCTAGCAATCAAGTCTTCTTGGAAAGTTTTTTTTCTCCCTCCAATGGATTTTTGAAACGTAAGTAAAGCTTTCTCAGGTTATGTACCACACAAAGATTTTTCCTTTTCCATGTCAGCTCCACTTGCTAGAAAAGTTCACCATAATTTTCTACTTGCAGCTCAAAGACTCAAGGGCCTCACAGGAAAAATATTAGTGTATCTCCCTCACAAGGCTATTTCTTCATAGCAAATAGACTGAGTCCTGTCCTCTGGAGGGGTAGACTAGTGTGACTTTCTGTGAAATTAGGTTGTCCTCATTTTCACCAACAAAGGGCCTGGTTAGAAACCTGTCAGAAGCCTGAAATCCATCGGAAACATGACATGAAACAACTGGGCTCAGTCTGTGCTGAGATGGAGAACTACAAGCTGAGCCTTGATACCTCCATAGGCTTTACCTCATCCCTAAGGATGAAAGTAGCAATAGTGTATTCACAAATAATACTCAAAAGATTTAGGTACATAGGCCCCAATCCTCTAATGGTCTCTGGGCATGGTCTAATTCAATTTTGAAAATAAGACTTCAGCTCTTAAATCCTCAGGTGTTTTAGAAGAAACAGTCCCACACTTTATAATCCCATGGGGCACCCTTTGGTTACCCATGTCATCTATTGCAGAGTATTTTGCCTTAATACATGCTGGGCTGCTGCTGTATACTGGCATTATAGAAAACTACAAAGATGAGAACAAGGGTACTTGCCCTAAAGGGCTTACCACATACCTTTTAAATCAAACCACCACTTAAAGGATGGTTTTTGTGAAGGAAAGAAGAACAATATGGTCACTATGGTGACTCCAGTAACTGCATCTGAGACAAACCTGTCAGGAAGGAGTGGAAACACTCGTTAGCAGCAAAAATCTTTAAATTTGCAAAGTTTGTGAAAATCAGGATTTACTAAAGAAGATTAGGATTTGTTATTGGGTTTAAGCAACTCTTATTGTTCACAGTCCACTTTTTAATTCCCCACTAAGTAACATTTCTAAAACACAGAAACCTAGAAACCTGACCAGAAACACTGAACACAAAAAACATTGTTAAAACCAACAAATAACCACAGCATTGCCCTTGCTTCCCTCATGACTGAATCACTTTTGAGGTTTCCTGAAGAATCCTGATAAAGGATAAAGGGAGGTTGGTGTGATTTCGTTAACTGACTGCACAGAAGCAGTAAAACTAGGTCAGTGGCCTGATTTTGATTATGATCTCTTTGCAAAGACGCTCAGATTCGAAGGTGAGGAACACGATAAAAATGTAGAATCAAATTCAGCCAAACACAGAAGCATGCTCTTTTAAGTAACTGTTAATTTCAGAGAACAAATTTAATCTATAAGGCTATATATGGGATTCTCAGCAAAGCCAAGTGTGCACTTGAGGGCTTTTCTAAATAGGAAGTATTTGCTAAAAAGGGTATCTTGAGAAATAGAAATAGACATTTGTGTCTGGAAAGAACACTATTATTATTCCCCTACTGTTTTATCTGTTTGTCTTCACATGTGAAAGGTCTGAAAGTCACAATGGAGACAGGCTTGCAAAGCAGGGAGGAGAAAGCATTCTTAGGGTCAGCTGCTGCTGTCTTTTTTCAGTTCATACCTCTGCTGAAATCAATAAACCTGTATAAAGCCTTTAGGATTTTGTGTCAGATACATCTATAAAAAATATTCCTAGAGCTCAGACCCTAGGAATATTATAAAATAGACATGAGTATTTTCAATACTGGTATCCCACTGGGTTTCAGCTACCTGCTCCTGGAAACATAAACAGTTAAAATGGCTCCAGAACGAAATAACTAGCTCCACTCAATTTATTCCATGAAACCAAGCAACTGCATAAAACAGAACAATAGAAAAGAAGACTTGGAAGTACCAGAGAAAGCATTACAATAGAAACTTACCCAGGTGTGAAAAAACTTGCCCAACCTGGGATGAATTTTGGGTCCCTGGAGAACAGAAGGATTGCAAACAAACAGAAGAGGACGAAAACTGCCTGTTCTGCAAATCTAAGGGATAAGAAAATACAGTTAAAAGCCAGTCATGATAATGAAGCAAACAAAATATTTTTCTTTTAGCTGATGATTCTACTTCAATTCAAGCCTCAGCTCAGGTGGGTGACTAAGACTGAACATCATACATGACAAAATGAGCCATGATCACACTTCTCTGGGAGCAGAATGGAGAAGGTACCCCATGATGTGAATAAGTGAGAGCAAAGGAGATATTTGAATTGCAAATAGTGACACTGGCAGAAGCTACTTCCAGTAAAGAAATCCTGGCCCACTGAAGTCAGGGACTAAAGTTCATTGACCTTTGGTTAAACCCTCACTCCCTTAGATACGCCACAAAATACCACTTTGAAAACTCACAAAAGCATAAGCAAGGAAAGATACTTAAACCATGGAAAAGAAAATCACTTGAGTTGATCTTAAGCTCTGTGTTGTTAATCAAATTGGTAGAGCATAGCTTAATGGACTATCTCTGCTTCTCAAACTCAAAATGGGACTTTGATTCTTACAATGACATTTTGCAGGCTGGTCCATAATGTAGTGAACAGAAGAAAAAAATAAACCAATTTCTTTCACTTAGAGCACAAGCCCAGATAATCGTCTTTGAAGAAACATCTCTTTCCACTTGCAAGAATAATAATTAAAATGTGGGTAATGCAGCACAAACATCATTGAAGCTTCACAACATCTCTGTGAGTATGGGAGCATGTTTTTATATACGGGAAAACTCAAACCTGACAAGAGTCAGAACTATTATATTTTCAGAACTGTCCATTAACTTTGAATGCCTCAAATGTTGCTTACCAAATCTGAAACATCTAAAGCCCTATATTAAGAGAGAGACTGTTTTTTCTATGCTGGTTCTATGTTCTGTCATTTAATGCTGAGTTTTACCATCTTGGGCTCCCTTCTATTCCCTCCAGTATATAACTGACACATTTTATTGTTCCAAAAACTATATTATTGTAGACATATGGATCTGGGTTAATCTGTTAAAGCTGTGTTATACTTAAAACTCTATCCTGAAAAAGCAGAAAGCATCTTCAATTCCATTCACCTGACTGACTAATAGGTCTAAGAGAATAATTAACAATTAACAATTTATTGAAAAAAATTATCAAACTGCCCACTAGCAGGCCACCAATACTTTTCATCATATCCACTATAAACAGAGATTCAGGAATGTCTTCAGGAAAGTCCTATTTTACAGATCGTTCATAAACAGCTTTTCTCAAATATTCAGAATTCGCCATGTGCTGGTTCACTGGGTGAGGCATTTGGTATTGTTTCTGTTTCTTATTTGGTAGGCCTACAGTATCTGAAGGAGATAGCACAAGTGCTGTTGCCTACACACTGAAATGTACTCTTGATAGGTATTTGAGCTACAAATTTACTATTTGCACTTATTAGCATTGGTGAAGATTGTAAGTGTGTGCTTGGAGAGTGCAAATGCAGAGGTCATTGGTGCCACTGAGCAGAAATTCATTCTCATTCTAGCAAATATTCTCAGTTTCTTTCCTTCCATACTCTATGAAATAAATATCTCCATTAGTTGGTTTTTATATCATTTTAGTTCCTCCTTTGCAACTCACTTTATTGGCCCCAGTTTCTGATAATCCTCCTTTATTACTGCTTTGGCTCGAGCTTCTGCATCCACTCTTATATCTGACTTCTTCTTTCTGCAACCCCTATCGACATGGAAACAAAAACACAGTTTATTTGGTACAGCCCCATAACACAACTCAAGCACTGATGTTCATGGGTGTGTGTAGATGACACAGGATTTAATGTAGACCACCTGAAAATTTAAATGCAGCTTTTTTTTGGGTGCTGTGTATTTTTGTTTGCATGGCACGGCATTTGTGTTTGCACGAACAGCGCGTTCGAGCAAGTTATGCCCCTGTGTGTCATTCCCCACAGATGTCAGTAGAGGGAGTCAAATGCCAGTTTACCCCCTAGAATGTCTTTCCTAATGCATTACAGCAGGAGGTGCATGTGAGCCACTCGGACTCCCCAGTCCAGGACTCTCATTGGGTAATCCTGACTGTCTGGGAGTCTCTCCAGGTCACAGTCACCCCCTAATCCTCGTCACTCGCACCCGCCTATGCTCGTTCGGTCTGGTCTTTCTCTCTATCAGTACGCAATCGCAAGGATCACGTCCCAATCCCTAAAGACAATTCTTCCCTCCCGTTCATTCCTTTCCCTTTCCATTCCACCATGGAATTTTTCATTAATATAGCTGCTTAATAACTACCTATATCCTAAGAGTATTGGGTGGGTGTTTGTTGCCACCCGGTTGATAGGTGATTGCTGCTCAAATGAACTTCACATCTTTTAGACCTGTTAATGTATATTGCCACAAATGACCTTTCTGGTACCATTACTCTCAGCAAGCAGCAAAGTCTAGACCTTAGCACATCAGACAATGGATATTACCACCCTTTCAAGAAAAGACACAAATGTGCTACCAAAACCTGGGGACACACCTATTTATATACACACCAGCAGACATTTATGCAAACAGTTGCCCACATGATAAGCACATGTGGGGAGAAGCTGGTATTTGCAAATTTTGATGGTGTGCTTTCAGATACCTGTTTGCAAGCCAGCTCTATGTGCTAACAAAAGGCTCTGCGACTCAATTGCCCCTAGATTATGAATGAATAAATCTCATTGGTAGAAAGCTGTGTGTGCCTCAAGAACAAGTCATTTCTACTCAAGACACAGATTAAAAATGCAGAAATTCACTGAAGCCTTATTGACACTATGACTCCTACTGGCACTGCTGAACTCATGGTAAAATTGTCTACTGTCTATTTTGCCTTTCTCCCTATGTTTATGCAAAGGAGATCCTAGCTTTCACACTGAAGAAGCTTCTTTCTAGTTATCACAGTTTATGTTCACAGAAACTATTCAGAATGTAAATGAGAGAAAAGTTGTTGCCTTTGCAGGATTTCACCACATCTAGCAGACGACTGTATCAGTAGCTTGACTGAAAAGAAAGCAAGGTGGAAAATGAAAGTGACCCTTCATTTTGCAAGTCAGCCACAACTTTCTGGGTGATCTCTTAATTTATGCAAAATACTCACTGAGAATAAATAAAAATGTGAGGAATTTCTAATGGGCTGGAATTTTAATATGCTTCTCTGTATTTAATATGCTTCTCAAGCTAAGCCTCTTAAGCAGGGAGCACTGGATTCATTCATAGTCCAACCCGTAGCCAGTTTTTGGGCATAAGAATAATATATTTATCTCTTGCTCTTCATATCCTATCTATATCATGCAGTTAAAATACATTCCTAACACAGCCTAGGACCTTAGTTAAAATCTGCAAAACCAGACTTTTCTCATCAGAAGTCTGGTCCTTTGATAATCAAGGCTGCTTGATTCAGTCATTGTTTTACCTGGATGTTGACAGCGAGATCCTTTATAAAGATACATAGCTGATTATCCAAAAACTCCTGAATTTCAAACAGATTTCCTTACTGCTCTGTTTTCTTTTTGGTTTTGTTTGCTTGCTTGTTTGTTTTACCAGCTGTAATGTTATCTAACAAAGTCATACATCCTACAAAAAAGCCCTCTTTTACCCAGATGCTTTTCATATTCATAGATCATACAGACACAGTTCAAGCAGGAATATATATGAACTTAGGGAGCTGCTTGCAGATGGAACAGTAAAGTGATAAACAAAACCTGGGTCCTTTTAAGAGGTTGTATAACTACACTGCTTTTCTTGGATTTAGTTTTCTTTAGCTTGTCTCTTAGGCCCCTGGTCTTGGAAACACTTTGGGCTTAGGTACGCCAGAAAGCTCTGCAGTGAAACAACCCCCTACTTTGGATATAGGTATACCTACACAAAATCCACCAGTACAGCTGAGGCCATGTACTGGGAGCATCTAACCAATACAGAAATACTGGTAACAATACTGAAAAGGTATACCAGCTTTGTACTGGTATAATAAAACCATCCCTTTATCCCAGGTGAAACAAGCTAAAGCAGTAAAAGCACAACTGCATCTGCATTTGGGGCTTAAGGCACAGCTCTCATGCCTCTCCTCCAACCTCTGGCCAGACATGCATGGCCTTAATAAGGCATCATCATAACATTGTAACCGACTCCTACTGGGGTTTGTATCAATATAACTACATTTAAAAAAAAAAAACCCAAAACAAAACACAACAGCAACTGACAGCTCATGCCTGTAATATAGTTACATTTGTATAAACCTTGCTGGTGTGGACCAGGCCTTAAGTACTTGGCTTCCATAGGATTACTTAATACCCCAATTCAGCAATGCAGTTAAGCACATTCAATAGAATTTTAAATTTGCTTAACATTAAACAAATCCTCAAGTGAAAAGAATCTAAGTGAAAAATGTTGTCTAGGTACTTCAGCGTTTGAAGGGAAAACAATTTAGACTGAAAACTTGTCTACTGAGTTGTTTTCTGTGTCACTGAAATAATGTATGCTCAGGTTATTCTAGTGCCCACTTATTCTTTCTTCCTTTCTTTTTTTCATTTTACCCTGAAAATTAAAAAAAAACAAACAAACAAAAAGCACAAAATAAAGAAAAAAAATCCCCTAATTTAAAAAATCCCAAAATAGCTCATAGAAATTTTCTATGATCTATTAAGGAAACATACATATATGTTCATTAATAACATGTGGCTTCAAAATGCTATCCATGCATAAACCTTGCACTCATTTAAACAGTTCAAGTCCAGATTGGAGCAGAGGTGGGAAAAGACATTGTAAGTACTAGAACTAAAGGAACGATTTACTGTAAAACCATGTTACAGCTCAGTTATAGATTAACACACTGGAAAATACCCAGTTAGAAAATCTCTGATGTTTAATCCCTGTTACCAAGTAACCTTTTCTGGGCCATATTTTCAGCCATAGAATGAAATTCTGGCTCCATTAAATTCAATGAGTTTAGCTATTGACTTTAGTCTGGTCAAGATTTTGCCCATAGTCACTACAGACTTGAAATAAATGGAAGCTTAGCTACTGACATCCACAGGAACAGGATCAGTCAATCAAAACTGCATGTTTAACAGAGGCATATGCAAACCAATCTTTGTGCAGGTCTGTTAGATAACCAAGTAACCACTAGATTTGCATGCACAAATGCCCACCTGCTCCCAACAGTTTAGTGCCCAATGCTGTAGGCTCAAAGATGGCTGTAAACCAGACTCCTTAGGTGCATCTACACAAGACGCTAACTGTGCAGTAGTTTAATAATACAGTATTAAGCTACTGAGCACTAGCATCACTAAAAAAGCATGTACCAGTGCTACTGCACAGTAATGCTGGTTACTATGCATTGATTTAGTACTTGATTATGTAAGTACTAAACTTAATGCACAGTAACTATGGCACATTAATGTGTAGACACACCCACTGACCAACATTTTTAGAAGTACTCAGTACTGGCCTAAATGCCCCCACTGATGTCAGTGGTGAAACTCTCAGACTTCCATGGGAGCAGAGTTGAAAATCCCATCTTCTGGGTTAGATCCTGATTTAGGGTGGTCAATCAGTCTTAACTAGGGCTGTGCGAAATGGCACCATTCCACTTCACCTTCAGTTTTGATGGTTCAACGGAACAGCTTTCCATTTCGAATTTCATTTCGATTCGAAACAGCTGTTCTGTTCCGTTCCGTCAAAACTGAAAGGCTGTTTTGATTTTCACTGGGGGTGGGGAGTCAGCGAAAGTCGAAACCCACCCCCAGTGCTAGATCGCAAAGGGGGCGGGGAGTCAGCCCAGCTGGGATGACTACCCATCCCCGGCGCTAGATCAGGCGGGGGGGGCAGAGAGTCAGCCTAGCTGGGCTCACTCCCACCCCTGTGCTGCGATTGGGGCAGGGGGCAGAGAATGAGCCCAGCTGGGCTGACTCTACCCTCCCCCCGGATCGCAGTGCTGGGGAGGGGAACTGATCCAGGCTCAGTTCCCTTCCCTTGCACTGTTACCGGCTTCCGGCAGCAGGAGACGGGGAGAACCAGGGTTGTACTCCCTGCTGGTGCCCTGGTTCTCCCGTCTCTCGCAGCTGGCTTCGAAACTTTAAATGTTTTGAAACTTTCGAAATGTTCCGACTACCCTCGTTTTGTTTCAAAGATGTTTCAAAGCCCTTCTTTTCTATTCAATTTCACTGTTTCCAGCTCAAAATTAGTCGAAACAGTGTCAAATCAAAACAGCCAGCAAATTTTTGCACAGCCCTAGTTTTAACCCATTATCTTTGGGGTAGTTATGGTGATTCAAACTAGTTGGGAGTTGGTTGAAGACTGCTGATTTGAATAGGTTTATTCTAATTTATACCAGCAAAAGATTTTGCTCTTTATATTGAAAAAGCATTGAAAACATTGAAAAAGCAGTGTATATATGGAAGAACTGTTGATTGGAGTTAGCTGGAAAAAGACCATTATGCAAATTTTTGGTTTTGAATTTCATCAAGTAATGTGTTTCTTCAACATTTTCTGACCAGTTCTGCTGCTGATCCATATTTTAACTCATTCGTAACTGGAATCTCTCCCATCCACTTTCTAAATAGAATAGTAAATATAATATTATAATGATCAGCTCTGCATTCATATCTTATGATAAGCTCTGTCCTGTCATTCTTCATATTGACTAATGCACTGTGGACCAGATAAATACATCCCTTGTTCTGATTGCAGTGTTCATCAAATATTTACTTGAACTAGAGCTTTTAGTTGAAGAAAAATGGCATTCATCTAGATTCGTATCGACCAAAACTGGAATGAATGATTACAACATGTGCACATTAAATAGCCAGGGACCTGATCCAAAGCCTTACTGAAGTCACTGAGGAGACTCCAATAAACTTCACTGGGCTTTGGACGAGGCCCCAGATGAATTGATTACTTAGATGCAGTCAAAATTAGACAAAATCTATGAATAAATTAGATATACAAATACCTCAGGTTAAATCCTCCATATAGGAAGGAGATCCACAGCCATCCAAAGACAAGGAATAGCACCATTAAAGGAAATGCAAACACAAACCAAGATCCAAAGTTCACCACATCACAGGCTGGAAAAAAACTTAGATGAGAAAATTCAATTAATGTAAAGAAGGAAAAAACTTCTTTAGCTCGTAATGAAGGACAGCAGACATCAGAAATCACAGCAAAATGTTATACAAGTTTTCTAAGCTACCACTGTTTATATAACTAGCAAGACCTGGAGCACTAAGGTTGGGGCCCCTCTCAGTGCTAGGTGGCATACAAGTACAGTCCCCTGGCTCAAGGACCTTAAATAGACCACTTGAAACAGCATTTTAAAAACAGACATGGTGAAAACCTGTCTCTCTAGGTTCACTGATAATCTCACGAGTCATCTTAACATTTGGCATTTTAGAAGCATGAATCCCTGTTTATAATGAAAGAATGTACTTGTAGAATGTCAGAATTTGAACTTTACAGAAGATAGTCTACCATGAGCCAGGTCAAGGAGATCCTTGTATGTAGAGTTGTTGACAAATAGCTGCAAGTTTAGGGTGGCGATATATATATATATATATATATATATGCAAATGAGGGAGTTTGCGTTTAATAGGATACAAATAGGACAGTGGTACACAATGGCAGATACAAGCACTTACAAAGGGTGCAGTATCATTCTGGTCCACTAAAACACCTATGGGTGCATCCCCATGAGTGCGCACAAGCAGGGGCACATGTTCTCCACAGGACAAATAGCAGTGGTATGTATTTGTCACACGAGACATCCTTATCCATATTTGTGCCACTGCTATTTGTCCCCCAGCATGCCCTTGCGCACATGCTCCAGCACACAGCAAATTGCCCTGGGTGGAGTAGGGGAGCCTGGGGCCAGCACCTGAACTGGCCCCAGCAGCCTCACCTGGGATTCTGGGGACATCCCAGGACAGCAGTGGCGCTGAGTCAGACACTCAAAGCCTGGCCAGCAGCCAGAGCATGGCTGTGGCAGCCACCCTCCATTTCTGGCCGCGCACGCTGCTGCTGCGTGCACCATGCAGCTTGTTTCAGCAGCAGTATTTTTTTTGACACCAGGACCTCCCAGCATCCAAAAAACCCCAAAAAACAGTGCATTGCAAATTAACAGCATGGTGAATGCATACACATATGCCGCGTGGAGTTTGTGACACCATAAACCTTACATTCCGATTTGTGGGGATGCAACTTATGTATTCAATTTTAAGGATGTGATTAAGCACCATTAAATTCAATGGTGTTTAAGAGCATCTAGCACACATTTTAACTGTTTTGCTGAAGCACTGGGCTGGCCAATCCATCTACCACAGCTAAGGTTGAAGCAGCTATTCCTTTTGAATCTGTTTTCACTTGGTCCTAACTCAGGAGTAGCCAACCTATGTTATATATGCGACAGGTGACACAAGAACCTGTTCTGTGTGACACATGAACCCAAGGTACCTCCTTTAGAGCCCCCCAGTATGCAAACTCTATCAGACGTAGCATTTGGGAAAGGTCAGGGCTTAATTTATGGCACACCAGCCAAAAGGTTTTGCAGAATTCAAACTAATAGGAAGTGGAAATCAGCAGAGATTCCATACTTATAGATTTCTCGGGACCTGGCTTCCTAAAGGTTTGCTACTGTACCTCTTCAGCTGTCCTAGAAGGATGAGATTTGGTGCAGTTCCCGTTAGCGTTGCTGTACCTCCAATGCTGGCTGCATAAGGGATTGAGATGAGGAAGCCTTTCCATATGTTTGTCTTGTATTCTTCCTCCTTCTTTAAATCTGAGGGAACATCGATGACAACGTCCTTCTCCTCTGTCAGATCTTTGCTTTAAAACATTCCAAAAAAGAGAATCCATTGAACATCCTGGTTTAAATACAGGTATAACCAATTCAGAGCCTTGGCAGAAAGAAAAAGCCCAGCTTCTAACAATCAAGCTATGAATGTCCTAAAGGACATCTGTGCAGAAGAGCATAGCACATATAGCCTGTCAAATACCCTCATTGTTAAACAGATGATTTAGAACTACTCCCTACTGGCCTGGTCCCAGGAAGTGCAGAGCACTTTCAATTGCCATTAACAGGAGGTGAACTTACTTGTACTGTTTTAAGAGACACTCCGCAACTTGTAAGATCAGGCTGCCTACAACACTTAAAAGTAACATTCTCTAAAATGTGAAGGGGCTTTGAGAATACCACGTGGTGAAAAAGCCTATTCCTGGGAAAGGCTGTTTAATGCCACATCATTTGCATATCAGAGCTGGCACACTGGGGATGTGCAGAACCCGGTGATTGAAACCACCTGCCTTACACTTCTGAGATTCCCAAGAAAGTGAAGATGCAGACACGTCTCCAGTAGCAAAAAACTGCCTAACACAATTGCAAAGTGACCTGAAAAATCTTGGTCCCGTTATCTGTTGTGGAATAGATTGGAGAAGAACTTCTATGATTGATTTCTCAGTAGTCAGAAAGTGAAGTAATGGGTAAAATCAAAACCATTTCAGTGATTGAACTACACATTCTTAAAACTATTTCTGAGGGGATAAGTATTAGAGATAATTTCCTCACTCAACTGTCCAATACAAACTTTATAGTTAACTTACTCCTCAGTACTTGCCAGAAACTGCAGCTCAGTTGGTACAGTGTAAAGTTTATTCTGCTGAAAAGAGGCTGAAAAAGAAAGATTAGGACTTTAAAACAGTTTAAAACATCTGGAAAAACTCTCCCTGAACCAAACAGTAGAATGGCAGGAGCTGCCACGTAAAGAGGGGGACAACTCTGAACCCATGGATGTCTATACAGGTCAGTACAATGAAAGTAGGTGGCAGAGGAGGGAATTTGCTTCCTCTAATCTGAGAGTGGAGCACAAGGCTGTAATACGCCCACTCTCCCACAGCCAGTGCTCCAGCCTGCAGTGTAATGTCACTCACAAGGATTCTGGTACCCTGACAGCCCCCACCTCAACAAGCGCTGCTCCCCCTGTTTGACCAGGATAGGGTATGTATCTGATGAAGGATCTTGGTTATCTGTCTAAGGAGTTATTCTATTTAAAGCTCTATTTCAAGATCATAAATTATCTTCTCCTAAAATCACTGTTTGGGGTTTTTTTGGTAAACTATAGAAATAAAAAAAACACCTTTTATTGGAATTTTTAACATTATTTTCCTTTGAAGTACATCAAGAAGTATCTTGGTCTCCCCTGCCCACCTGACAAATTTCTGCCCAATGCAGAAAGTCAGTGCAAGACCTAGGGATGATTCACACCCCCTTTCTGATCCCATTTTAAATGCTACAGCTGGACATAAGGGGCGCGTCCTTTGAGACACTGCAAGAGGCACGTGCAGGAGTGAGAAAATGTTCCCCGCACTGAAAATTCGCAGTGCGGGGGCAAAATTAGACCCCTGGATATCCAGGGGTCAAAAATCCTGCAGAGAAAAAAAGCGGGGCACCCGCAGGCTGGGTCCCCCACAGAGATGCTCTGGTAGAAGACAGAGCATCTCTATGGTTGGCCCTCACCCTGGTGCTGAAGCACGCTGCCTGCCCGTGCAAGGCAGGCAGGGTGCCAGCCACAGGGAGCTGGACCCAGGCTCCACTGCAGTAAGTAAGGGGTGGAGGGGGCTGGAGAAGGGGGAAGGGGACCATGGGAGGACCCATGCCGGCCCCGCCTACTCCCCCAGGCCCCCAGATCCCTGCCCC